TTGTTTACGGATTGTTAAAATATCCATATATAATATTTGAAAAGGCTTTGACGCGGTTGGTGAAATTGTGAACTTTTGTTTAGATGATTTCTATCGTATTTTTGTGTAGCACAAATTGAACAATTATTAATGTAAGTTGTTACATCAATATGTATTGTTAGCCAGTAGTACTTTTCTTTAATACGTATTTCATTTTCATTAATGCCTCGGTGATTAATTGAATCTTCGTGAAAACTTCTTAGAATCGACTTTTGTTTATCTACGTCAATTACGTCTTCTCTAATCTCCTTGCATATTATTAATTTAGAAGATGAATGTGTAAAAGTTGAAGTTAAGATTTTTATGATATCGGTAATATATTCATTATTATCAATATACATTGCAAAAGATTTATTACTTGTGGTAAATTCTTTAAATAATTTTATTATTTCTTTTTCTAAATTTTTGCTATTAACTTCGACTGTAGTTCTATTTTTGTTAAATATTTTTTGTAATTTCGGTTTCGTCGGATTTGTATTTACGATTTTAATTATTATTTGATTATTGTAATAATTAATTGGTTTTGGCGAAAAAGGGATATTTAAAATTGGATCTTCGCGTGATGTATGGATTTCATCATTTTCATTTCATTGACTTCGTTATCTCCTAACACTTCAATTTATTATTGAATCTATTTCATCGACATCGGGTAATTCATTTTCTGCCTGTGCTATTATAAATTGTAAATCTGTATCAAAATCTATAATTTCATTGTAATTTATTTCTTCTAAATTAGTATCTGTTTTTATTCGCGTTAATGCATCGGCATTTGTATTTAATTTACCTTCCTTATAAAAAAATTCATAATCGTGTTCTTCGAGTTGTAATCTCCATCTAACTAATCTTGCGTTTGCGTTTTTTAAAGAAAATAACCATGATAATCGTTTATTATCAGTTATGATTTTAAATTTTGTTCCGTAAAGATATGGTCTGAAATATTTAACCGCCCATACTATTGCTAACAATTCTCTGTAATTAATTTCTGATTCATTTAATGTTCGTGATTTAATGTTCGAGCCATTGGTTTGTCTTTTCCTATATCTCCTTGAGATAAAATTGCTCCTATCGCATATTGGTTTGCGTCTGTTGTTAATAGAAAAGATTTTGTAAAATCTGGATATTGTAAGATTGGTTCAATAATTAGTAAATTTTTACAAGTTTCTAAACATTGAACATATTCAGGATCTAAAGTTATTTTTGCATCTTTCTTTAAACATTTTGTTAAAGGTTTAGGTAATTTTCCAAAGCTTTCTATAAATTTTCTATAAAATCCTAATTGTCCTAAAAATCCTTTTATTTGTTTTACTGTTTTTGGAATTGGATATTCTAAAATTGTTTTTATTTTATTCGGGTTTGGTTTTATTCCTTCTGGAGTTACTACGTGTCCTAAGAATTCTGTTTCTTGCTTTAAAAATTCTGATTTATCTGGTTGAATTTTGAAATTAAATTCTCTTAAACTTTCAAATTTTTTTGTTAAACTTTCAATATGTTCTTGTAAAGATCCGGAGTAAATTATAATGTCATCTAAATAAACAAAACAGATTTTCTATATAGCCTCTTGATATGTTATTCATAACGCGTTGCAAAGTTGCTGGGGCATTTTTTAATCCAAAGGGCATTCGAAGATATTCAAAATGTCCTTCATCTGCACTAAAAGCTGTTTTTTTGTATATTATTTTCATCCATTTTGATTTGGTAAAAACCTGAAGCTAAATCTATTGTGGAAAAATATTTGCAACAGCATAATTTATCTAAAACGTCGGAAATGTTTGGAAGAGGGTATTTATCATCAATAGTTTTATCATTTATTTTTCGATAATCTACAACTATTCTCCATTTCTTTTTTCCTGATGCATCTATTTTTTTTGGAACTACTTCATATTTTTGATTGATTTGATTATTTGTTGTTCTAACATATCGTTTATTTGCATTTTCACTTCTTCGGATGTACGTGAGGGTATCGATAAGATTTTGTATAGATTGGAATTATATGTTTTACTTGATTTGTAAAGGTTAATTTATCATTTGGTTTATGTATATCTTTGAATTTTCTACATAATTTTAAAATTTCTATTCTTTGTTGTTCATATGATTTGTTCGAATTAAATTTTCTATATCGGAATAATTTGTTTTATTGTCGATCTCTTTGGTATAAAAGTTATGTAATTCAATTTGATTTGTTAATTCTACATTGATTGGTTTTGTTGAAATTAAATTTATTTCATTATCATTTAAATTATGTATTTCGACGATGGCTTTAAAATTTTGTGATAACGTGACTGTCTCTGGGATAAAACAATCAGGGAAATATTGATGTTTTATTAAAATTTCTCCTTCTTTGATATTTACTGGAATTTTATATTTTTTAATACACTTACTAGGAATCTTTTGTTAGAAAATTATTTTTTCTGGCCTTTTTAAATAATGTAACTTTAAATTTACGTTCGGTAATATAAGTAATTCATTGTTTAGATCTATCAATGCTTTTAATTTTTTTAGATTGTCTATTCCTAATAAACCATTGAACAAATGAAAGGAAAGATATTCATTAGCTTTGAATTCTTTAAAAGCAGGAATTTTACAAGCTGTAATGGGGTAGGGTTAGAATAAATGAAATTAACACAATTTTAACACTGCCGTCACTTTATTTATGGGTATGTAGGTTACAGGACACGGCAATATATATATATATATATATATATATATATATATATATATATATATATATTTCAAAGTAACTTGCAGCCCATTCGTCGAAATAAAAAAGGTATAAAGTATATAAACTTTTATTTATACGTTTCGACACAAGATGCCTGTCATCATTCAGCAACACAGGACAAAAACACTCAACAAAAATTTATTTTAAAAATTAAACTTAATAACATATTAGAGAAAAACATTTTTTTTAGAAAAAATTATGAATAACTAAAAGATTTGAAAACTAATTTGACTAAAAGTTATGAAATGCAACATTGTGAAGAGAGAAACACGCCCATACCGAGCAACCATACTCGACTGAAAAAAAAATATATTATATATATATATATATATATATATATATATATATATATATATATATAGCCACTAAGTCAACTACGCGTACCCAAGGAGTAAAATTGATAAAGTCGAAGATACTTTATCGCACTAAGAGTTTACACAGTTTTTCTTATTCGTGCGTCCGCACAGAATATCACAAAGTCTGAAAATTATTAAATGCCTCCGCATTCAATATCACAAAGTCCAATAGAAAAGTATTAAATGTGTTTATTAAATTTGACCATTCGGTTCGAATGGATCAAAAAGTATGTTGTTAAGATAGATTAAAAGTGTTTAAGAAGTCCGTGATCGGCGAGATGCTACCGAACTCTATTGAAACACTTGCACTTTGTCGAAGGACCAGATATATTTAGTTATTGGCTATATCAGACCGATTGAATAATAAAAATAAAAGATGATAAATAAATGTTTAATTATTGTATATTTGAAAGAATATTAAGACTGATAGATGATATGTTAGATAGTTGAAGTTTTAATTAGATGTTATAGCTTTGAGTGTTAATTTACGACTGATAGATGTTAGATGATAATTTAGTTGACACTAAATTATATAGATTTTACAATTTTATACATTTTTCTGATTGGTCCATTTCGTAGAATTAATGACATCTCATTACAATTTTGGATCCAATCAGTACATTTGTCAACCAATCAGGTATTGGTCGGGGATTGCAGATTCGTAGAATTAAAACTGGGTACACGTAATGCGAGTTTCTTGGAAATATATTAATTGCAGGATGATATGGTTAGGGACAGGTGATTAAAATTCTTGGAAAAATGGATTACTGATATGTTGACCGATTTTGGGATAGGATGCGTGACAATGAAAGCGATTATTTTATCGTTTTAAATTATATAGTAAGGGATGAGGGTTTATTATCGCTATTCTGCATGTAGGCAACAAAATATAATAATTAGACCAGGGTTGGGAATGAGGCGTTAACAAAATGCATCTACACTTAATAACTTTGAAACCGTTTTTGTTAAACTTAACAAAATAATTCCAATATCTTAAGCCAACTTTGCGTCTGGTCCGAAAAGTTCCACGTGCGGTGCTTCATGTCTAACACAAGACCGGCTTTGTGCAAGAAATCCATGCCTAGCAGGCTGTTGTTTCCTTTAGCTTCCGGAATCACGACAAATTCCGTTGGAACTGGCCTGTCTACTAGCCGTACAATGGTCGTCGTCTTTAGTATGGGTCGAAGTTTCGACTCTCCATCGGCCATCATCATTGTCATCATTGACGGTTCAAATTGATGGCTCGTTGACTGCAGTAGTTTGTATAGCGTTTCTCCCGCGATGCTCTTTTCTGCGCCGGTGTCCACAAGTGCGTAAATCATTACGCCTTGTACTTGTGCTTTAATGACGGGTCTGGAGCAAGGATCTTGAACCGCGGATTCTCCTGGTTGACGGTTCCATCTCAGATCACAGGCCAGGCGTCTAGGGCAAAATTTTTTCAAGTGACCCTTCTTCTTGCAGTGGCTGCATTTTCCTGGCTCTTGCGTGGTCAGGCTCAAGAATCCTTATCTTTGGGTGGTTGCTGCCTATGCAGTTGTTGGGGGAGAGCAGACCGGGCACTTACTGCGGATAACCTCTGCCTTGCCGCACCCATAACAGGAGATTCTCGCTTCGCTGCGAGTTCCTGGCTCCTCCTTCTTAGGAATCTGCTTTGTCCCTTGGCGTTTGCGACATTCTGTGACCGTGTGTCCGGTGTGGCCGCAAAAAGAGCAGGTTTTCCGTCTTTCCACCGGATTGCTTTCTCCCTTTTCTGCCTCGGAAAGGTTAGCTTCCACGTCTCGAGCTCTTTGAAGCAACTCATCGAATGTATTGACCGTTGTCCGTGGGATGCGTTCACGGATCCGCATATGTAGTAGCCCGTAGAGCATGTCTAGCTGCATATCTGTCTATATATTGTAGGGCAACTGCGCCAGCAGTGCCCTCTTCTGGCAAACGAATAGGTCGGTACTCACATTCTTTTCTTGGCGAGTGCCAAAAAAGTCTATACAGACGCTGTGCGGGGGTTTACTTGGGGCGAACGACGTCCTTATCAAGTGGATCGCCTCGTCGAACGTATTGGCCTCCGTCTTCACACTTTCCCACAACGTGGCCGACGTGTCCTGGAGAAGTAGTGGTAGCCCCTTTAGCGCATTCTCGTCCGAGATGCCCTCCACGTCTTTGTACAAGACGATGGTAGTTGTGATTTTCTTCACTTTTTCAGGAACCCGCGTTCTGTTGAACCTGGCCGTGCACCTGGCAAAGCTGCCGGTCACCAAGTCCGTCCGTGTGTTCGATTGTGCGCTTATCACTCCCATCAGTCGCTGTAACATTTCTTCTGACATGGGCATCAGTTGTAATGGGGTAGGGTTAGAATAAATGAAATTAACACAATTTTAATACTACCGTCACTTTATTTATTGGTATGTAGGTTACAGAACACGGAAATATATATACAGTCACTAAGTCAACTACGCGTACACAAGGAATAAAATTGATAAAGTCGAAGTTACTTTATCGCACTAAGAGTTTACACAGTTTTTCTTATTCGTGCGCCCGCACAGAATATGACAAAGTCCGAAAATTATCAAATGCCTCTGCATTCAATATCACAAAGTCCGAAAGTTATTAAATGCCTCTGCATTCAATATCACAAAGTCCGAAAGTTATTAAATGCCTCTGCATTCAATATCACAAAGTCCGAAAGTTATTAAATGCCTCTGCATTCAATATCACAAAGTCCGAAAATTATTAAATGCCTCTGCATTCAATATAACAAAGTCCGAAAATTATTAAATGCCTCCGCATTCAATATCACAAAGTCCAATAGAAAAGTATTAAATGCATCTACACCGTTTTTGTTAAACTTAACAAAATAATTCTAATATCTTAAGCCAACTTGTTAATCTTGCAGGCGCAATCATGACAAGTTTCTTAAGGTATTAGGGCCAAACGCGACTAAACACTTTCTGACAAATTTCTTAATTCTTGGTAAACTCATCTCGCTGAGGTAATCAGTAATTGACTATGGTGCATTTCTCTTCCGATGACGTAGTTGTGTAAATATTATTGTCTTTCTCACACCCTCGCTGAGTCACAGGGCAAATGTAGTGTGTATTATCGTGCTATCTTTTATCTTGCTTTTACTTGGGTTGACCTATAGGCTTAAGATGTTATCTTCTCGCTTAGTCGGATAGTGCAGATTATCAAAGGATTTGATTTTGTTGAGATGAATTATTATTTCTATTGTGTTGTCTGAAATATCTGTTTATTATTTTGCATTGAATTTTGGAAATTGAAATTATTACTTCTGATATGGTTTATGTTATCATCTTTCGCAATTATTCGCAGAGCTTCGCTTAAAGAACAAACTTCGCGGCTTCTCAATATTGTACTGTATGGTTGCTTTACGTGAGCTATGAAACTGCTAAAGCACTTTTTTCGAATCTATCGCATCGGTCATTTAAAATATTTGGATTTGTCATATGAAAGCATGAGTAACTATTAAAAATGCTTATTAACTGTTCAAATCTTTCGTAAAATTCATATACTGTTTCATTTGGTCCTTGACGCATATTATGTAAGTCAAACAAATAGATGTATCATCTCGTTGGTCATTGAATTTAGTTATCAAAACTGTTATATATATATATATATATATAATATATATATATATATATATTTATTAATATATGTGATACAGTTACTGGTTGAGTTTTAATTAGTGAATCCTGATTGAATATCAAAACGCTTCCTATTTATAAGGCGACTTCTTTGTTGCGTTACGCATAGATTATAGTACGTGCTGATGCTGATTCAGCGGAAGATGTATACATTGTTGCTGTATATATAACTCTTTTTAACTTTATTATATAGCGACCCCCTTCAAGCTTAAATTTTAATAAAAACATATCATTAGCATCAAACAATATTAATGTGGCGGATGTGATTGTATATTTTTACACAAATAATTATATCTAGGCTTAATTTGAGTCGGTGCAGATCGTAATAAATTTTCAACGTTTAATTAAATAGAGTTCAAAATTAATTAATTTAATAAAGTTCAACGGTATTTTGATTTTGTGTAAGTAAATGTGGAAATGGCTGATTCACATATATATTGTACAAAATGGCAGTAATCTGTTCATTGCCATTTCTAGTAGTAGGGGATATTCTGATTTGATTTCTATCCAAAATTCATACACAGGCAGGCGCTTGAGAAATCTGAGTCGCAAAGTAGTATCACTTGTTATTCGGTAAATTCTTCTTGTGCTTCTAGTATAAAAAATATTTTTTTCCATTTCAATTGAAAATGGATTGCAAATCCATTGTTGTGTAATTGATATCACTGGTAAAATACTTATGCATGTAAACTTCCGTATTCTTCAAATGATTAATTATAATTTTTGTTGTAGGAGTATCTTTTTTTGAAATATTGTTACTAATTATATATTCGTCAGTAAATGGAAATATTTCGAGCGATCCACTTTCCACTCTGTTCTTTCATATAAGAATTTTTTTTAACAAAGACCTCAAGTTTATTTTTGAACATATAACAAATTAACGCAGTCTCCCGCATTGATAAATTCATATAATTGATTTTATCAAAAATATCTGCCAAATAGCATAGCATAGCCGTGTGTTTCTTATACCGCGTAGTACAAGAAAAATTACAAATGGCAGGTTCGGTGAAGCTTGATGTTTCATTTAAAAAAAAAAGATCCGCTAAACGTCCGACATTAGTTTCGCAGTTTACTATTTTGAAC